CTCACCTCAGGCTGCCTCCTTCCACTCCCATAGGCTCCTCCCACCTCCCACAGCCTCCTCCCGCCTCAGGCTGCCTCCTTCCAGTCCTGCAGGCTCCTCCCACCTTCTGCAGACTCCTCCCCCTCCAGCGGCCGGCTGCCCTCCTCCTTCCTGCTTGGGGCCCCTGATGACCCCTCCCGCATCAGGGAGGGCCTTCAGTCACAAGGCCGCTGTGAGCCCGGACACACGGCTGGACACGGAAGCGGCCCTGCTCTCTACTGGCCACTGTCCGCAGCAAGCAGCCCAGCAACCAGCGATGCCGTTGACACACCTGACGTGGACTTTAATGGCGGCAGGGACACCACAGGCTGACCAGCTGCGGGAGGGGTGCAGGCTGGGCCAGCGCCAGCCCTGCTCAGCCGAGGACGGGGTGGGGGTGCAGCCAGCGAGGCCGCGGTCACTTGTCTCCAGCTCGGAAGCCACACAGTGCCCAGCGCGGGCAGCTTCATCCTGGGAAGAGCTTCCGGAACTTGCCATAGGCCGAGTTGCTGATGATGACCTTCACGTGGGCTGCCCCGGCCTCAGGCAGCACGTCCACCTGCTGCACCGTGGCCTCCTTGTAAAGCCAGCTGGGGGCAGAGAGGCCCGTGAGGGCGTGGCCGTCTCTGAAGTCCAGCCCACCTCTCCCCACTGCCCACCGCGCTCCCCAGCCCCGGGAGGTGGGGAGCTCCTTCGGCCCCCAGGAGAGGGCTGCCGGAGGCCCGGCACATTGGAGGTGGACAGGACATGCAGCCCTGCAACATGAGTGAGCACAGCTTGAGCACCTGGTGTATGCACATGCCAGCATCAGCATGGACTTCCACGCCCACTACCCACCCTTCTGTGCCCAGAGGCAGCTAAAAGTGGCCGTGCTGCGAGGCCCAGGCCCACCGCGTTCCGGGGGCAGACCCGAGTCTGGGTCCCTCACCTGAGCTGTGGCCCGGCCAGCTGGATGTGCAGGGTGAGCACCTGCCTCCCGGTGGCCCTCAGCACGGCCTCCTCCAGCCCCACCCGCAGCTCCTCCAGCCCCTGTCCCCGCAGGGCGGACACGGCCACTGCGCTCGGGTCTGGGGGACGGTACCTGAGAGAGGCCAGCACACCTGTCAGCCCTGGGCAGCTGCAGAGGGGAGGTYCCACCCAAGGGGCCCACCTGGGTGCTCCTCGTGGGACCAAGTCACTTCAGCAGGAAAGGCCACTGCCACCCATGTCACAGGGAGGCCGGATGCCAATGGCCCTTAGCAGCGCTGGGAGATGGACACGTCTGTCCCTCGTGGGAAAGCCACAGTCCACCCCGACCCTCCCCAGCGGGATGTCCAGGGAAGGAGAAGCTGCGGGTGCAGCGCGACCACTCACCCCGGAACCAGGTCCACCTTGTTGTGCACTTCGACCACGGAGTCCAGCAGAGGGGCGGGCAGGCCCAGGCCCTGCAGGGCAGACAGGACGCTGACCTTCTGCAGCTCCGTCTCGGGGTGGCTGACGTCTCTCACGTGCACAATGACATCCTGGTGGACAGGGAGGCCACGGGTCAGGGGACTGCCGTCCCCACCTCCTGTGGACAGGCCATATGGTCAGGGGGCTGCCGTCCCCACCTCCTGTGGACAGGCCATATGGTCAGGAGGCTGCCGTCCCCACCTCCTGTGGACAGGCACATGGTCAGGGGGCTGCCGTCCCCACCTCCTGTGGAGAGGTACATGATCAGGGGGCTGCAGGGCTGCCGTCCCCACCTCCTGTGGACAGGCCACATGGTCAGGGGGTAAAGGTGAGGCCCTAAGCAGCTCAAGGAGACCCYGTCTCTAATAAAACACAAAACAGGCTGGGGACGGGCTCCGGGGTCGTGCTCACCTGCCTGTGGGCGGCCCAGGAGGGACTCGAGGGCACCACGCCTAGGAAGGTGGCAGTGGGGTGGCTGCTGGGGGCCAGGACATGTCCGAGGTGGACACAGCCTTCCTGGTTCCTGTGCCTGGGTCCTGCCACCGCCCRCCCGCACCCCGTCTCCTTGGAGGGAGAGCAGCCGCTCAGTGGCTGGCCTGGCCTCCCGGGCCCCAGAACGAGGAGCTGCCCGTGGAGACTGGTCGGCGCCCTGCCCTGGCCCCCACGCATAGCCTGGGCCTCCTGAGGTCACTGTGACTTGTGCAACTTCTCCGGGAGGAGAGAAGCGTGGCCCGCAGGTGGGGACAGTCCACCCAGCCGGGGCTGGACCGCGAGGCGGTTTGCATGGGAGGTTCCTGCCTGCGCCACCAGTCACGCTGCCCGTCCTGCGGCCGCTCGGCCGCTCACCTCTGCGCCTGGCCCCAGGAGCTGGACAGGCAGGAGGAGCCTCCCTGGAGCCTGGGACCCCKGGTCCAGCCTCCGCCCTCCAGGGCTGGGGGAGCTGGACTCCTGTGGTTCCTGTCCCCTGAGGAGGCCCAGGGGTCCTGCTGGAGCTGGAGGGTCATGTCCTACCGAGGGGCCTGGCCCCCAGGGGCCTGTCTATGGGGTCTGTCCACAGGGCCACCCAACTCACCGAGTGGGCCACATCCTCCAGGGTGGCAGAGAAGGACTCGATCAGGCCGTGGGGCAGCTGGGAKAGGAAGCCGATGGTGTCCATGTAGAGGACGGTCATGCGCGAGGGCAGGGATCCTGCGTGGGCCGTGATGTCCAGTGTGGCAAACAGCTGGTCCCGAGGCTGCGCGGCCTCGTCACCGGTCAGGGCCCTGATGAGTGTGGTCTTCCCTGGGGGAGGCACAGGACACGCACACGASGTCCCAGGGAGCCCCGCCTGGCCTGGCCACAGGCCCTGTCCACCCCTGAGACCCGGCCCTGGCAGAGGCAGCGAGATCCAGTTTACCCAGGCCCTGGTGCCAGCTCCTCAGGGACCCTGGTGGCCAGAGAGGGAAGGTACAGGACTAGCCCTGGGTCACGTGCAGCCAGGAGGGGGGTGGTGCAGGTGGAGGTGACGTGTGCACACAGCATGCGGTGTAGATGGTGGTGTGGACGAGCCTGGTGTGGGGTGGGGTGGATGGACCTGGTTCTGTGCACACGGTGTGGGGTGGTGTAGACGGACCTGGTTCTTGCTCCTGGTGTGGGGTGGTGTAGACAGACCTGGTTCATGAATCCTGGTATGCGGTGGTGTAGACAGACCTGGTTCGTGTACTTGGCGTGGGGTGGTGTAGACAGACCTGGTTCGTGCACCTGGTGTGGGGTAGTGTAGACGGACCTGGTTTTGCACCTGGTGTGGGGTGGTGCAGACAGACCTGGTTCTTGCGGGTGGTGTAGACAGACCTGGTTCGTGTACTTGGTATCGGGTGGTGTAGACAGACCTGGTTCGTGTTCTTGGTATGGGGTGGTGCAGGCGGACCTGGTTCTGTGCACCTGGTGTGCGGTGGTGTAGACGGACCTGGTTCTTGCACCTGGYGTGGGGTGGTGTACACGGGCCTGGCGCAGTGCAGTGGTGTCTTGGGGATGGTGTAGGAACTGGGTSTGAAGGTGGCTTTGTGGTGGCCCCTGGTGACCAGCCTCCCCACTGGGCTGGTCCCTGGACCTGCCTCGGGGGCACCTGGGCCACACTGGCTGCCCGTCTCAGGCAGGACCCCCGGCCCCGGGGGTGCGGGCCTGGACTCCTCCCGCGTGCACAGCGCGCACACGGCGGGCTGGCCGCGGGCGTTGCTCCTGGGCAGCGACCAGGGGAGCCAGACCCKGCGTCCTGCTCGGGTCTCGGCAGAGCTGCCCGCAGCTGTCTCTGGCCTTCGCTGCGGGGCCGGCGGTGGAACCCGGGCCTGGGCCCTGCCGAGGCCGCACGCTGCGGGCGGCGCCTCACCGCAGTTCGTGTACCCGACCACGGCGACCACCGGGAACTCCCGCTTGGCGCGCTGCCTCCGCAGGAGCTGCCTCTTCCTGCGCAGCCTCTCCAGGGCCCTCCGGAGCTTCACCTCCTTCTCCCGCAGGAGGCGCTGCCGCAGCTGCAGGAAGGACTCTCCTGCAGAATCGGAGGGGGGCGCGTCAGGCGCAGGCGCGAGGGTCGCGAAGGAGCCTAGTGCGCCTGCGCCTTCACAGAGGCTCCAACCCACTTCTGCAGAGCCCTGCGCTTCTCCAAAGCTTTTCCGCACAGGACCGGCCAGCTCCCTTTACCCAGGGGGAACCAGCTGA